ATTTTATAAAATAGTTCATATTGCAAGTAATTTTTTAGATATCACGTGCAATGGTACATGGCACCCATACAGGTGCAAAAATTAATTCTTTTCTTAATGCTAAAAAATACAAAATATTTCGGTTTAATCATTGGAGGAATATATGTTGCTTCATTAGAAGGTTTTATCACGGTGAGAAAATTTATAATGAGCAATTATTTAGCGAAGTATGCTAATGCAGTCTTGCGTATTGTACATTCTATATTAATTTCATTATTATTATTATTATTATTATTATTATTATTAGTTTTTGAGCAATGTCATGATTTTATTTCTTATAAATGTGTTTAATTCTAAAAAACAATTTATATATATATATAAATAATGATTATACGATAAAATATTAAAATTTATGATTTCAGCTTACAAGTACGTCGTTATCTTATTTTATGGTAATCTATTCTACACAATGACGAACATATATTATAACAAAAATAATATAACTGTAACGAATTGTACAAGTTGTAGTTGATTAATAATATTCCATCAAAAGAATTATAAATAATTGTATGCTAGAGATTACTAAAAAAAATGATTGTACTACTTTACCAACTTTACTCGTTTTTATGCCTACGGTTTTCAAATAATACATTGCATAAATATATATTTTTTTATATTACAAAATAAAAGTAATATCTTTTACGACTTGATAATGAAACGAAGTGTAATTGCAAAATATCGTGACATTTGTGTCTTTATTAAGTGAAAATAGAATCCAGAAAGAGTCTAGAGTATAGAAAGAGTATATTGAATCTTCGAATTGAGAATTTGCTTGTTAATTTAATGTAACTTGTGATATTATTGCAGTAGGTTAATTGCGTTTGATAAAGTCCGGAAAAATTTCGGCGCATTTGAATAACTACGATAATATGACATATATGCATGTACATATATAGGATATAGATGATTCACTGTGAATTATTTAGGCACTGAGAAGATCTAGCTTTGACCGTTATAGGTTTGAATATGCTTAACTTAGTATTTAATTTCATGTCGATTTTAATAAAAAAATCTTATTATTGATTATTTTTTAAACTTTTTTTGTTAATTACTTTTTAACAGACAGCGAGCGACGGCTAAAACTTGTTGGAGGTTACTCAAGGTGATGATCTTGACAATATATATCAAGGTCAATATTGTTGGCGGATGCTCCCTTTTTCTGCAGTTTCATCGTAGAATTTTATACAAATTATTTTAATATTATCAAATGAAAATATTTCAGATAATGAAAGAAAATTATTCAGATAATTTGATGTTATATAATTATCTTACACAAAATAATATTCAGGTATTGATTTTAATTGTCTTGCACATAAGAATAATTCTTCTTTCAACTTATTTTATATGTTATTTAATGTTGTATTGTGTATTAAATGTCTTATATGATTATATATAGTCACAAATTTTAAAATGTAAAAAAGTTTTTATATATGTGTATATAGGCTTTAGTGCATATTTTTACATAATTCATACACAGCATGTAATTTTATATACATGTATAATATTATACCCTTGCGTCCTATAAAAATTGATTCGTTCGGGCTTTAGTTACGCTCGTTACACTTGCAAATATCGCATAAATTCGATAAGTTTTCACACACCTCATAACATTCACAAAAATAAAGACATAGACTTTCTTTAGATGAGAATTTGATATGAATGTTTTACAGTATACATTCTGTGTCAAAAATTAAGCACTGAAATCAAAATCCAACAATCAAGAGGAAGCAATCTTCATATTTATATATAAACTCCTTAACGATCGATTATTATCGGCGCGGCTAAGGCCCGAATGATTATTTACGGAACGCACGAGCACGATACTACATATGTATATAAGATACATAAAAATATATATCTTTTAATATATTACATAATATATACAAAATATTACATGTGCTTTTATATTATTTATTTAGATCACGATTTTAAAACCAACGATATTATTAGAAATATTTCTATTTGAAAAAAATGGACTAATAATTAAGATATAAATATTATATAAACAAGTTTTATAAATTAACATTAAGAGAATAACAAAAATGCAATGTGCAGCGAGATAGGACGGTACATGTATTGTTGAACATATGAAATTTTATGAAATGGTAAAACAATTTGTTCTTTCTTTATCCAAGAATGAGGAATCATATCATGATATCATAATCTGCATTTTCTGCATTTTCGCAAAATGTTTGTTATATTATTGTACTATCAAATCCGATTTCTTTTTCTTATTCGAATTAATATACACAAAATATGAAAGATGTTACTATTACATGCATGTATATATAGATATTGATAGCAAAAACATTGTTTTGATATACGACACTATGATAAAGTTGACTTGTATCAATATAAAATAGTCTGTGCTATCCGTAATACTTCTAGTCTTTGCAATAGCATTGATAATTTATTTTAATAAAAAAGTTACTTCCTAGGAAAAGATATATGGATTGTCAATTTTGATAATATTATATTGATAACTTATTTTCATTCTATAGTCGAGGAAGAAACTCGAGGAAAATTAATTTTTCTTATTTACACTCATTCTCTCCCCCGCTAATACTTTATGAATTTTTTACATCTGCTGTTTATCTCACGATGAACTTATCGTCATCCTTAAAATTATACTATTAGCTTGAGAAAGAAAAATTCACTTAAGTTTGATACATGGAGGGGGAAACGCAGTTTCGCGACGTTGTTCCTAACATACACACTTTAGCTTTCACCGAAGATGGACTTCGCTGGAGAACGGTACTATAAACTAAATAAAATTTTTCTGATATGTTTCGGTTTATGGCCTTATCAAACTCGAACTTTGAAGAAAATTCAAATAATCTTTTTCCAAACATTATTTATATCTTTTCTGATATGTCAGGTATTCAGTGATTTTTCATTTTACACGCATGTTATTAAACGCTTATTTAAATACAAAACTTGCCTATAATATAAGATATAAGTAATTGAATAAACTTTTACATAAACTTATGCTTACTCAAATTTTACAACGATGATTAAGACTATTATTTTCAGTGCAATACATTTCTTATAAAAAAATACAGTATGGATCGTATCTTGAAAATTTTATTGTTTATCATTCTGACTTGTATTTTTATTGTAAAATATAATGCATGTCTCCTACTTACCGATAATGTAAGTATTCATATATTTTTAATGGATTTGGAATTCTTTGTTTTTATAAAATTATTATAAATTAAACAAATTTTTGTTCTCATTATATGTAATACTACATACATACTTAGTGCATGACATAATTATTCGATATGTACAGGGTGGGCCATCTATTGGTACGTTTTTAAAAATGCGATCAAATGAGCATACATTGATATTTTTTATTAATTTTTTTTTTGTTGTGAAGCTAAAAGTATCCGCGTCAAGAATGAAAAACGATTTCGTTCATGTGGCTCCCTCTACTGGCCTTACAGTATGCCATTCGGTCACCCCAATTATTAATGACATTTTGGACTACCTCGGCGCCAATTTCACTCAAAACAGTCGTAATATAATGTCATCCACTAACATCCCTTTCTCACGAACTTTCCTCACCAATTTGCGTATAGCTCCTTCGGTGGGTGCTCTATCACGACCCATATTTCTTTTCAAAATTCGTACAGTTTCGGCGACACAGCACTGACTTTGAAAATAAGTTTTTAAAATTTCAAAACGCTCTTCAAGAGAAAACATGTTGTTTCGTGCCGCGGACGGTATGACTAATAAACTGTCAAAATTTCGGGTCTGTAGCTCGTTCGTAAAAACTGCAAACGTAACGATTATATAAAAATAATAAAAAATAATTAATAGGACATAATACCAAAAAAATTTACAGAATGAAATATTTTATTTATATCACAGATTAAATATATCTTTGATAGAGTTCGATACGATTGGAATATATTAAAAGCTCAAACGGAATTGGAAATAATACGAAAATACGCAAGCTATGCAAAATTATTTATGATCGGTTTTATACGTAAGATATAAAATCAAATATCAATCGTGTAATTCTTTTTTGTAATATATACTTTTACATTAATTTATTTATACAATATATTTATATATTAGGTGTTGGAATTAATTCGTAGCGTTTTACAAGTGATGGGAAGTACTTTCATTAATGTATTTTTTAATGCTCATGTGAAATAAATAACATTCTTTCATTAAAAAACGCTACGAATTAATTCCAACACCTAATATATATATATTTATTTATATATTTATTTATTCATATATTTATATATATATTTATATTTATATATATTTTTATTTATATGATAATTAATTATATAATTTGTTTTTATGTACATTAAATAATTATATTTTTATTAAAATATTTAATTATATTTTCTTGTAGTAAAAATTATATAAAATGTTTTTAAATGATAACATACTCTTAGATTGATGCAAATATAATTAGATTAATATATGCTGTATAATTTTTTTCTCCATACTAATATTTTTATTTATAACATATGAAAATATACATTGCTCTTTAAACTACATTAAATACGCGACATAATTTGCTTGCTTCAGTTTTGATTATTAGCAGTTCATTGGGATTCGTAGTAATAGTTTGTTTACCCCATGTACTTAATGTGATCATACCAATGAATGAATCGCGGCCGCAACAAACATTAATTTTAGTGGAATACTTTGTTGATGAAGAAACATACCTTATCGCTATTTTGACACATATTATGGTAGCTATGTATGCTGGTAATATGACAATAATGTCTATCGCATCATTACACATAGCATACGCACTGCACACATGCGCCATGTTTAGAATCGCCAGGTAAAAACAAGAGTGATTTTAATTATCACGATTGTTGATTTTATCGATTTACTTAAAAATGCTAATATTGTAATAAGTTTAGTAATACCGTATTTTCATAGCTATCGAATAGAAAACATATTTAATGAAAATATACAACAAATGCCAAAGAATATTAAACAATATATATTTTACAACAAATTAATTCAGGCTGTATATGTTCATCGCAGAGCTATAGAGTTAGTATTAGTGTATATCCTGTAGTTCCTTTACACTTGAAGCCTATTTTGCCTGGGCAATTCAGCAAACAAAAATTATTGTTGCGTATATTATAAATATTATTTTATATTCACGTAAAAAGTAACTTTGCATAGAAAATATTTTAGTAATAGCTACCAAATGTTTAGTAAAATAATGTTAATTAAATGTTTGATTAATATAATTAAACATAATTTTACTTTTAGAAATCTTTAGTTACAACCAAACATTTAATTGGCATTATTTCATTATTTCACTAAACATTTGTTAATTATTACCAAACTTTTTTTTAGTATTGTTTTATAAACAATTTAATAAAAACAAATCTAATAAAAATTACTATTTTTCTTACAACTTTAGATGTGTCTAAAAATCCTCGCAGAAAAGGCTAAGTACAAAGGCTTAAATATTATTGCAATGAATTAATAAAAATACACATTTTGCTGTTGAAGTTTGGCCAATATTTTGACGAACAGTTTTGCGACATTGTATTTCGTGTTATTAGGACTTGATGTGGCTTTGATGAGTGTCTCTTTACTTAATGTAAGTGCAATTATTGCGAAAAAAAGAACACAATATCATTTATTCAAAAAAGATTAATTATTATTATGACATACAAAAAATATATAACTACAAAAGATTATATATTAAATAAGATAATTAATAAACAACGTTCGATTCAAGTTTTATAATGCAGTAATATCCCTGGAGAAAGTGGACTTATTGATAATCGGCGCCTGTATAATGATACAGTTATATTATGTATTTGTGGGAAATTATGTTGGACAAGATGTCATAGATAACAGCATCAGCATTTTTCAAGCAACGTACGTATTAGATATATTTTTTAATTTTATATTTTTGATACATTTATAATACAATTTTGACGGCTTTAATACTCTCTGTAATATGTGAATAATTAAGAATATACAATTTTTCATTTTTTGAATACCAGCTTGATCAAAAAGTTTCCGGAAGAGACCACAGGTGATGCTCTGAGTCAGCTGATTTGAGTTCTTTTTTTTGGCTAGGTTGCCACATCTATCATTGACATTTCCATCAAATTTTATCGCCATAGCTTGACATTTGTAAAAATTACGCTGTCTTGAGTACATCTACCTCTGCGCGTGTTTTCGATTTTTTACAGTTTTAAAAATGCAGTTGAATTTGCAACGAGTTTGCAACAACGAATACCATCCAACAGCCATCGAATTCACCCGATATGGCTCCCTGCGATTTTTTTCTGTTCGAGTCAAAAAACCTGCGGGGAACGCGTTTTAACAGCCGAAAGGAGGTAATGGAAAAATCGAAGACGGCTCTGATGGCTATACCAATAATAGAGTTCCAGAAATGTTTCGAGAGTTGGATTAAGCGCTGGCATAAGTGCGTTGCAGTCGCTGGAGAGTACTTTGAAGGGGACAATATCACTTTTGATGAAACTTGTATTTTGAATTTTCTGAATGAATTCCGGAAACTTTTTGATCAAGCTAGTATATCTAGTGAAAGCTTAAAATTTTTTAAACTATTTATAACTTTTTTAAGCTACAAAATCATTTTTTAAAATGTTCCTAAGATTTTGTATTAAGTTACCATAGATTAAATGAAAAAAAAGTTATTTAACTTTGCTTATAACTCCGTTAAAAATCATCATATTTCACATCAAAAAATAGTTTCTTGAAGCTGAAACTTTGCTCTATCGAATGATGTAGTGGCTAAATTTTTTTAAAAATATGTAGACATGATACAAATGAAATACTGCTACGAATTTTTGTTGTGACTTACAATTTTTAAAATTTAATAAGAATGAAAAAATTTATTGGTCATTTAATGACTACATTTAATTAAATATGTATTTATCATTATTAATTGCTATACATGTGTATCTGTATATGTATTAACAGATACAATGCACACTGGTATGCTGCGCCATTATATATGCAAAAACTGATACTATTTATAATGCAAAGAAGTTACAGGAAGAGTGCTTTAACAGCTGGAGGTTTATTTGATGCGTCATTAGAAGGTTTCGCTAAGGTATTATAAGGAATTATGAGCATAAAAAATTACGAGCAATTTCCTTTGATTTATCTTATAAAATAAAAAATGATTTTTAATATTTATTATATTCAGCTTATGAGTATGTCTATATCCTACGTTATGGTCCTTCAATCCATGGGAGCACACAAAGAAAACCATGAAAAGCATGATAGTTACGTTTAAAAAAATTTGAATCGCAGGTTTTTACAATACAATCAGTACGTACTACATTTATTTCTCTGGATATTTATTAAAATAAATTTTGAAATAACAATAAAATACATTCTTCACTTTTTACAATTTTTACTATTATGTCATAAATTAAGACATATTTTTAGGGAATTAAAATATATTTTATTTTTTATCTGTGTTTTTTTTATCTTTAACAGTCGTATATATATCGATGTAATTATAATATTAACTTCTAATTTAAATTGATTAAATAAATATGTATTATAATTAACAATAAATAAGATACTTTCTGTGACTTATTGTGTATCAATTATGTAGTACACACACACCCGTGTGTGTATGTGTGTATGTACTATAAACAACTTTTTAATGTAATATTTTTTTTCTCGGCATTTACCTTCTAATATTTTCTTTAATATAATATGCTGAAGCATTAAATATGTAACATAAAACTTAATATCATCTTCACGATTCAACAACTTGTGTGAAAATAAAGACTGAATGTGGGTCTCAGAATAGTGACAATCGCGCGTGCGCAAGATATATATGAATAAATGATGAAAGCGGCGAACATTTGTTTTCCATCACGTATTTTATGTAATTTACCTTAATCGTCGTATTTTTTTTTTTTACCACAATCTCCTAAATAAAATTATAAAATTTGCGAGAAAATTATGATTGTGATCATCAATAATATTGTTGGAAAAAATGAGTTTTTTCGATATACTCGTGACAAATGTAGTGAAGCTTTTGAAGAAGTAAAATGAACTTTTACGGTCAGCGTTACTATAGAATCAATCGTTTTTTTCTAGAAATGACAGGATTATGGCCTTATAATAATTCTATGTATATATATATTTATAGAGCATTTACGATTTTTGTCCTTATATCTACTAGTATTACTCAGGTAATTTTTTTTATGTATTTATTTATAAAAAAATATAAAATATAAAATTAGTGCTTCTTTTATGTATACATATACTAATATTCCTTATACTTACTTTAAATTATAATTTTATTTAGTTTAATTTTAATATTTATTTTATACTGCTCATGTATCCTTCATTTATTTTTTACATGAGTCATTTTTATAAATATCAGAAAAATTTTAATTAACTTTAACTAACATGTGTAAAAATAACAGAATTAGACTACAACAGTGATTTAATATCTTTAGCATCATTCTTTAAAAAAAATTGTTGTAAATATAATAAAACTTTTTCTGCAGTTCATCAAATTGCAAAACACGGTTCACGATCTCGACGATTTTCTGTATAGTCTAACGTATACTATCCCTTGTTTCATCTATGTTATAAACTTTCTTAACTTCATTATTAAGATTGACAGAGTACGTGAACAATTTAATTTAGATTATTATAATAACTTATTCTACTTGATTATAAAAAATGTATCATTAAGATTTAAATATAATATTGGGGCGTTAACGTTTAATTATCATTAACATTATTAGATAAAAGATATGATGAATAGAATTCAACATGATTGGAATACATTAAAAGATGAAAGAGAATGCAAAGTTATACGCTATCATACCATAGTCGGAATGCGATATACAATGATTTTCTTTGGTAGGATATCAGAAATTTTACCATTTTCATTAAATTACAAACATATGAACACAAAGATAACGAAAACTGCTCTGTAATCCATTTCTGATATATAATAGTATGATGTTGTTTTAGCTTTTCTCTTGCCACTTCTATTTAGCTATATTTTGAGTTTTTATTTGCCGAGTTTTCTTGATTTTGTTTATCCCTTAAACGAATCTCGTTTAAGGAAATTGCCTCTCTTAGCAGAATATTGTATTCTCGATGAACAGAAATATTTTTATTCTATTCTGGTGCATCAATTATTATCAATCGTGCTAGGCTTAACAGCAATAATTGCAACTTCATCATTAAATATGTTATATCTTCTACATGCTTGTGGACTGTTTGAAGTGACTAGGTGAGATGTTGTACATTTTTGAAAATAATAACGCATTTTGAATATTTTCTTGTACATTTTATATAAATGTATAAGATATATATAGATGTATAATATATTCTTTCTTTTTATCACATAATTCTATGAATTTAGCAATGATTATTATTAGGGATGCATTGGATCATAAAATTACCAGATATCAGATATTGGATATCCGAAAAGAATGTGATACCGGATATCTAATATTCGGTAGAGAAATTATCTAGCTGGATTTTGGATATTTTCCAGTACAAATTCCCCAAAATTCTAAAAAAACAGAAAAGCAAAGGAAAAATAGTGATAATAATTTCCATTATTTTTCCGTGAAAAGAAAAATAGGAAAGAACTATGCAAGAAGTTTAGCTGAAAAGAATAAAATTCTGCATCAATAACGCAAACTTTCAATATAAAATTTCAATCAAATATACATATATATTGCCAGATATAATATTAATGATATTGGGCCATCTGATAGTAAAGATATAGGTAGTAAAGATACCGGATATTACTTTATACTGGAGATTTTCAGTGCATCTCTAATTATTATTGTTACAAAACACAGCAGCCATCGCAGAAGCAAAGTAAATTATAATATAAATTATAGAAAAAGATATATATATATTAGGTGTTGGAATTAATTCGTAGCCTTTTATACTCAAATACATGATAATTGTATTCAATGAATTGAGAGAGAGAGGGAGAGAGAGAGAGAGAGAGAGAGAGAGAGAGAGACTTGATATATTATATCTTATTACCCAAAAATAATATGAATCTATATTTATAGCTACCGTTTGAAACATGTTTTCGATGACGGAATGTTTTCAGTAAATACAAATGAAAAATATGCCATAATTCACGCCAGAATCGTAAAAGTTGTAAATGTCCATACAAGAACAGTTGAGTGAGTATATCAATCATGAAAAAAGATGCAAGGTATCTTAATTTTTTTTTGCTAAAAAATGATTTGCATATATTTTCAGTGTAAAAAAAATTAACGCGTTAACTTAAATATTATACATAATTAATTCATGCAATTTTTCACTGTTAAAGATTTTTAGACTACCTGATGTCCACATTCAAGGTAACCTATTTTATTATGTTCGTACTTGGAATAATTGCGATAACTATTAATATGTTTCGTGTGAGTTATTTTTTAAAATAAATATTCTTAGTTCTATTTTATGTTCTTCCTATGTAGCAATAAAATATTTTCTAATTATAAAAAATTTAAAATTAGTTAAAAATTCCATGTTTTTAGCTAATCGAGGCTATTTTAGCAATGAATGATTTTGGGGAATTAATAGCAACTGGCTCTTTTAGTGGAGGCCAGTATGCTTTTTTGTTTTTCGTCAATTATTTTGGACAAAAACTAACAGATCGTAGTATTCTTATGTTTGATAAAGTGTAAGTTTTTAGAATTAATCCATGATACATTATTTGCTTATTAAAACACAAATTGTATTATACATTTAATAAGAATCTTAATAAAAAGAAAGAAATATATCACATTCTCTTTGTAATTACATAGATACGATATACCATGGTATGCAGCACCCGTGCATATTCAAAAACTTTTTATATTTATACTACAAAGAACAGTAAAAGGTTATGTGCTCAATATTGGTGGTATAATTATGGCATCGCTGGAAAGTTTTGCATCGGTAATGATATATTTTTCTGTCAAATTATAAATTTGAATAATTAATTAGAAGATTATGAATATAACATGATTAATGCGCGAAGAATAATATAACCATACAAAAATAACTGAAATAATTAAATGTTTATTAGATTTTAATATTATGTTACAATTACATCTTTTAGATGGCGAGTTTAACACTGTCTTATCTCACCATGTTATATTCCGTGCGTTTAAAATAGACAGCAAATCTGATTCTAATCAATATAATGAAACTGTGGCTTGTGAACATGAGAACTATATCATCAATTATGAGACAATTCTAATATAGATTAAATACATTTATCACAAGTATATATCATAAACAACAAAATATCAGAATGATCATTGCAATATTTTATACTTTTAAAGTGTTTTTTCATGCTAATGCTCGATATGCTCATTTGTAGCTTTAAAATAGGTTATTTGTGATCAAAATTGACGCTAGACACTGAAAAGGATGTAGCGTCACATATGTAACGTTCAATCTAAAAAAAATTGAGCGATCTGATACGGAAGGTTAGAAGATAAAAATTTTTAGCTTCAAATGCTAGCATTAAATTAAGACCATGTGACCAGCTAACGCTGCTTTTCAACGTCTGCGTATCTTGAAATGACATTTTTACCTTATCATAAACTTTGATCAATAAGTTTACCCCTTTTTTTGACGATGCACATGGCATCGATATCAAAATGCTATCTTTTTATTCGTACACTATAATTTTATATAATGGTGGCAATATTATAAGGGTAAGGGTAATTCGAAAGGAAAATCGAGATATATAATTATTTAGGAAGGGAAAGTTAAAAGCTATCACGCAAAGCGAAACTAAGAAACTTTTTACCATCAAACAAATACATATTTCTGAACTATTATCTACAACACTTCATAAAAGAGATACTTTTATTTCTAAATTCTCTGAAATAATTCAAATTTGATAGCAATCAGCATACATTTGTATGACTTATTATATTTGACAATAACTTTTTAATAAATAATAAGCGATAATTTAAATCTTTTGATTGTTAGATTTATAACTTTAACAATATATGTTAAAATCAAAAACATTAAAAGACCTCTAAACAAAAGCCTTCCTTATAAGGGGAAAGGCTTCCAAGTATTCTTTATCGGTTTTATGAAATTTAGTTAGTAAAAAAGATTTTTTTATTGATAACCAAACATACTCAAGGAATAAAATTAAATCTTGGAAATCTTGTAAAATTTTCATTTCTCAGCTATACTTAACTTTTGAACGATGCATGATTTCGTAAATATACAAAATGTACAGAATTTCAAGACTTAACGTTGTGCGCTTAATTGTATATATTGTCCCTTGAACGCAAGTCTCTCCTCGGCATGGCATGCGGCATCGCAACGTGACATCCGTCGAGACTATTTGCACGCAACTTGGGGTGTGCCAGGTAATATAGGCGAGCGCACCTAGTAATTTTTATATACCAGTATATACCAGAATAGCTTTCGAAATTCTGTACATTTACGAAATTATATTTACGAAATTATATTTACGAAAGTATATTTACGAAATTTGTATATTTAGAAAATTACGCATATTTTGTTCAGAATTTGTAGTTGAAAAACGATTTAGCTGATTCTACCCCTTAAATATATTTGGCCAATAAAAAGAAATATGTATTGAATATTTTTATCTCCTTTACAAACCAACTAAGTTTCATTAAAATCAGATAGGGATACCTCCAAAGTTTTCCTGTTAATATTTTTTACTTTTTTTATGTATTGAGTTTTTATAATCTTATATTTTTTTTAATATGAAAATTGAAGGAGCATCAAATAAAACTGTATAAAAAGATATTAAGCAGTATTGTCTAAGCCGATACCGAGATATTTATAATAAGAATTTGTATATCAAATATCTAAATTTGTATGTGCAAGTAATTTCAGATCTTCGAGTTCATTGAATTATCCTATGTATATAAGATGCAAGATCTCGATAAATTGACAATTTTTATTAAGAAATCTGTTGAACGCTGTTTGGTTCGCAGTTTGGTTTCTATAAAGTTAGATTAGAATTTTAAAAATCATGTTTTTAAATTTTGTTTTGTTTATTTTATTATAACAAATGTTCAAAATGACGATCTATAATTTCATTACAAACATTGCATCTACTGTGAATTGACTAAGGCACTTTTTAGAAATTCTGAGGGTATTGAGAATCACATCACATGCGTTTATTTTTCTATTCATAAGCTCATTTTATATTGATAGAGATTATGTATATTAAACTCTTTATAAGAAATGTGCAATCCTCAACAGTGTTGAATTCTAAGGAATTTAGCGTTTTAAAAAAGCATCGTCGAATACGAGTTATTTAAAAAAATATAGTTCAATTTAACGAGAGCTATCACACATACATTTCTTTAGGTTTGTCGCAACTCTTCAAAAACATTCTATATATACTCACACAACACAGTTCTTCAAGAAACGTCCTAAAAATGTCTAAAAGATATCCTACAAAAAACGAAAGGATCATTTTGCTAAAATATCTAAAAGTTCAATTGGATGCAGAAAATAATTTTATTGGACATCAAAATAATTATGTAAGACGCTCAAACTGGTTACTCAAATGTTAACACTTTTTGCAGTATTGCTCATTATACTTGAATTTCCTACGTAATATATACATATATATATATATATATACATACACATACACACATAGTGTTTAAGATTGCATCAATTGAAAATTTGATTAAAAATGTGAAGAACGCTGCCGGATAACAATGTAGATTAGATTTCGTATTAATAATAAGTAAAAACATGAGAGCAATCTTTTAAATTATGTATAATTTTTTCCAGGCTGCTGTAGGAAGTAATCGCTCACACGCTCTTCTAACTGATTGTACATCCTATTTTTTATATTAATTCTTCTTTCATACAGGGTGGGCCATCTATTGGTACGTTTTTAAAAATGCGATCAAATGAGCATACATTGATATTTTTTATTAATTTTTTTTTTGTTGTGAAGCTAAAAGTATCCGCGTCAAGAATGAAAAACGATTTCGTTCATGTGGCTCCCTCTACTGGCCTTACAGTATGCCATTCGGTCACCCCAATTATTAATGACATTTTGGACTACCTCGGCGCCAATTTCACTCAAAACAGTCGTAATATAATGTCATCCACTAACATCCCTTTCACGAACTTTCCTCACCAATTTGCGTATAGCTCCTTCGGTGGGTGCTCTATCACGACCCATATTTCTTTTCAAAATTCGTACAGTTTCGGCGACACAGCACTGACTTTGAAAATAAGTTTTTAAAATTTCAAAACGCTCTTCAAGAGAAAACATGTTGTTTCGTGCCGCGGACGGTATGACTAATAAACTGTCAAAATTTCGGGTCTGTAGCTCGTTCGGTGTTGCCATACGACGAAATTCAAAAACGTACCAATAGATGGCCCACCCTGTATTACAAGTACTAGCAGCAAAAATAATATTGATTACATTTTACTTCAGAGATTTTGAACAAACAAGAAAAGTAATTTTATTTATAGAAAATTTTAAATAAGAATTGTGCAGAAGAATTCTTATTTAAATGCTATACACATTATTTGAATTTTTACCTTGATATATCTCATATCTCTTGTTACTTATCAGTGTTAAAGAGCAGAAATTATTAAATATTTTTTAAGTATATTTTGTTTATGCTATGTTGAAAATTTTTTGTTTTTGCACGATTTATTGAAAATTTCGTTAGAAATTAAAAAAACACACATCACATCACAATTCATTGATAAACACAACACTTCGTGAGCAGAAAAGATTTATCAGATAGCACTGTTCAACATTGTCAACACTAAGAAAACGAAGTTTCGCGACGATGAAGAAATGTACACGACCGAAACTTTTCGCATGATGGTTCACGCTCTATTGAGGGAAATGCCACGAATAGAGACTATTGTTCGTTACTGCGCCCGCGCCGCGTCGTAATGCCAACGTCAACGCGACGACGCATTGCACTGTACTGCTTACCCATTGGAACAGCTGATTTACACAGCATGCAATATTTTTATTAGTTTTTAGTGCACAAGTTTTGTCGTATCTAAAATTAGTTGTATGTGATGTTGAGAACATTCGACATGACGTTCTCTGATCAATAAAATGCATCATGGAATATTTTTGTGAAATATCAGAATATATATTTTAAAAAATTTGAGAAGAAAAAGAAAAATCACTATATTTTTAATTAATATGAAAAAAACATTAAGTATTTTCTTGTTGACAATTATATTATTATATATTATATATTATTATTATTTATCGTTATTAGTGTAACGTAGATACACTGAAAACTTTTTATAGTACTCGGTGCTACTTTAGTTCTTATTACTTTTTCTTATTACTTAAAACTAGTTGCAAGTATTTAAATTTTAGAGTTGTACTTTTTATATAACAATAAATTAAGGTTAAATATTTTGAGGTTTTAAATCAATAAGTTTTACCCATATACATATGAATAGTTATTGACATGAATAATTGAAAAAAGAAAAAAGTCTTGTACATTTATAGAAAATATTCATTGAATATCAATTTTACATATGTCTATCTATATTTAAATATAATTATTTAGGAATAAAAATGATTGTGTATTAATATGCTGAAGAAAATATATTCTAGTCAGCAATAAATTATTAATTTATTTTGCGATTTTACATTAGGGATAATATTAAATTAAAAAAGTTGAAATACTGATGATACAAAACAATACTTTAATTTCTTAATATGAGATTATCAGATAAATACTGAACATGTCGCTGAAATGTACCTATGGCCGTATTCATATTCAGTTTTTATTTTAAAATCGTCTTAAATAATGTCTTAAAATGCTAATATTGCTCTGTAATTAGCTTATGGTGTCTTAAGACTGTATTTGATATCTTAAATGTGAGAACTGATTTTAAGTGTCGGTTTATATCATACACTTTACACTAAATAAAATAAATATATCCAAAAACTGTAAAATTTTTTCATAGTCTCTGTTAATTCTTTGTATCTTAAAAAATGGCATTATCTTAAAAGAAATATATGGAATAGATATATTTAAAGAAATTTATTTATTCAAATATATGCATGTATCAAAAAGTTTCAAGTTGATATATGAAAGCTGCATTGAACACAATTATTGACGACTTGACGAACAATGAAAAAGAATGTATATTGCAGTTTGGCATAAGAAAATTATCCTTCTGGAAGAAAGGCACTTGTGTTGTAATTGTGTAGATTACAAATTTTCTTCACATGTCATTTTTACGCATCTATATGAATAGATGTAAAATATGCAAGGAATTTTTAGTCATATTTCTATGTAAATAATTTTGCAAATTACAAAATTATATTGAACTTATGCATAAATTGTAATACTTACTTTTTGCACTTATTTTATAGACAAGCAAGAAGCGATATAGCGAAAAATATAATTGGTTCAATAAATATAGAATATGGTGGGAGAGGAAGAACGTAAAGATAATTCTTCGTTTCTCAACACAGAAGTATTTTGACAGTCGTGAGAAGATGAACTTCGTTGGAGATAGATATTATAAACTCAATCGACATCTCTTGCTATTAGTTGGCTTATGGCCAACTAATGAAAATTCTATCTACAAGTATTGTCAAATGATACTTTGTAACATTTTTATAATATTCATGATGATTTGTCAGGTAAGAATATTATGCAAAATTTCACATGAAAAAAATCTGCTTATCACTAAACGTCATGTTTCATTTAATCATAGTATGTTATACTTATATAAAAAATTATTATTCCATTAATAAAACTACAAATATAAAAACTATTCGCTTGAAAAATTTTCCAATAATTATCAACTTACCAAAATTCATGGTTTTAGATTACGAAAATGCTAACATTGAAACGAAATATTGATGTCATGCTGAGACTTCTTTCTTTTACTGTGCTTTGCATAATTTATATTATAAAATATCAAACGTTCTGTATTGTTGCTAGAAAGGTTAGTTGATAGTGCATTGCAATCTCTATTATGTAATATTTTTTTTATTTTCAAATATTATATTAGAAAAGAAATCGTTAAAATAAACAAGCGTTTTCCTTTATTATCATAAAATCTCCTCCGTTTATTATCATAAAACATAAAATAATTTATTAAACATTGATCTACTCTACTTTATAATACACGTTTTCTCAGGGGGTCGGATTAACAGTAAAGGCTAACTTAGGAGCGGCAAGTTTAGGGAGCCGGCATTTTTTTGAAAATATTTCTAAAAATATAGCCATTTTTTCCAGGCGCAATGATTGAGAAAATTGTCCATCCATTATCCATCATTATTTTAATCATTATTTTAATGATCCAACGATCATTAAAATCTAGTTGAGGTTTCGCGCCGATTTCATTCTATCAGAAGAAATTTGAGAGAGATTATGCCAGCTTTTTTTTATCATTGATTATATAGAATGAAATAAATAAATTTGCGATAAATGAGTTTTCTATCAAAAAAAAGTTTTTTCTATTGTAGTAAAAGAGATGTATAATAATTTTGAAATTTCTAAGTACCTATTAAATCTATGAAAACATTGTGCAAAAAAGTTAAATTAATAAAATTCTTGTGCAGAAATCTTTTTTTTTGTTGTTCGTTGCGAACGCAGACGCAACAATTGAGAATCTGAGTTTGAGGGTAAAATAGAGGCGGCAATGATTGAAATGCCTAAGAGCGGCAAAATTTAATCCGACTCTGTTTATAGGAAATGAAAGAATTACTGTTCCATATTTTTTATAACAATAATTTGATAATGACGTTGCAATTTTTATAACTATAATGATAACTAACTGAATGCTAAAATTATGCTAAGGTTAAGAAAGTTACATGGAAAAGTAACTTGCATCATTACGCATTTATTTACTGAAAAAAGTAATTTGTAAGAAGTAACGTTACCTCATTATAAATAACGACTAAAAAGTAACGAGTTACAAATACAGAATTAATTGTTTCAGTAACGAGTGACTTTTCCAATTCGTTATAAATAATGATCGAGTAACTTTACAATTGTTGTTATCGTTACAGTCATAAAAAAATTTGTTGTTGTCAAATTGGTATTATAATAGAATAACGAATAAGAAATATAACGGCGTTAGAAGTAACTAGTCATTTTCATTCCCTGCTTACTTATTTTATCTGAAATCAAGAGATGATATAGTGTCTTTTTCACTAAATATATTTATTTATCTATTATATTTAGATTTTACTTCTATACGATATTAATAACATATAGTGCGATGTAAATTACAAGTTCTTTTTAATTTTTTATCTTAATTTGTCACATTTTTTATTAATGTATAACAAAACATTATAATAAAAATTGGAAATATATTTTAACATTTGTTGCAAAAAACGATTAGAAAAGAGTTAAAAAATGGCTTCAATTGACTTTAAATCAACATCTAAAAAACTAATTTCATAATTTTCCTCGAAGTATATGAAGAAAAAACATTTGCATTAACAGAAAGTAGGTACAAGAAAACTAATAACAATAATATCATGCAATATTCATAATTCAGATAATGTATTTTAAAATGTATTATATGTAGAAGAAGTTAAAAATAAATATGTTATTTTTTTATATTTCTTTAGATTTATGATCACAAAAATAAATTTTTATACTTTCATATTATATTTTAGCTATTTTTGAACTCCCTCCTTTACACATACATTTAAATTTATTCTTATAATTCTTTGCAAATAGATAAAGTGTCTCATGGGTCGTGTAGAAGAAGATTGGAATATGCTTAAAGATAAAAAAGAATTAGAGATCATAGAGAGATATACTTGCATTGGAAGTATGTGTACTTTGAGTTTGACAAGTAAGAAATAGATACATATACACAACATAGCGGCTTTTAAATAAAAGTACAATTATATTAAAAATCTTACTTCTTCTCTATTTTTTATGCAGTACTGGGTTTTGTAACTATGTTAAGTTGTTCTTTCTTACCATTGATACCAAGCATCCTCGATATTGTTACACCATTGAATATTTCGCGTCCACGACAACTTCTATTTCCGGGAGAGTACTTTGTTGACCAGCAAAAGTTTTTTTATGTAATTTTATTGCAAGTAGACGTTACTATAGGTTTAATAATTATTACTTTGATAGCCACGGAAACGTTGTATGTAACATATATACAACATGTTTGTGGAATGTTTCAAATTGCCAGGTAATAAAATAAAGAAAGATCGAATAAACATCATAATCATATAAATTGTTTAATTTCATTTTTATTATGCATTCAATGCTTTATTTTTATTTTAATTTTTTAATTAATTGATATGCTATCAATTTTATTATATACGATTGCTATTTTTATAGTTATCGAATGGATCAAGCATTCAATGACAAGCTTTTACAAGGATACACATCTGAAAAGCAAGCAATTATCATCTACAAACGGATAATTGAGGCTGTACATATTCATAAAAAAGCTCTCGAGTCGGTATAATGCATTTTGCTTATAGTAAATGGAAAAATATTTGATTGGACGATTAATACATTGTAAAGTATTGAATCTTTGTCAGACAATATTCATATCACAAGATTTAAAAAATTTCTCAAAAATTTGTGCAGAGTAAGAAGGGTGGGAAGAAATGAAAATTACATTTGTCTAGCTGGTCATTTCTACATAACAAAAATTTAATTAATAAATTATATAATAATTTGCTATTTATATATCTGAAAAAAATTTTGCGCTAATTCATTTAGCCAAAAAATTTTCTATGAAACTAAGTAGGTTCCTCTATATGTTAATAATAACTGATTTGAAAAATCAAGTGCATAGAATTTATACGCTATTCATGCACTCTAATATCAGAATAATTTTAATTTTTTGCGCAATCTCTTAAGATACTTCCTGCTTGAAAATAATAATATTCATTCCTAAGTCATTTAAAATTGCAAAATTTATTATTTAGTTCTGCGAAATATATCTTTGATGTCTACGCTTATTTCCCAGTAATTTTTACATTGCAATCCTTATTTCTTTCCTAATGCCAAAGACATAATTGTTATAAAAATTTTTGAAGAAATACAACATAAAATTAAAATGACTATAAATATAAATGCGCATAAATTGTAGATTAATTGTATTAAAATTTAATTATATATTTATCAAATTAATCGATCTCTACTATTTTTAAAAAAATTTGAAGATAAATTTTTATATTTCTGATGTTAAGAGAGGTCTTAAAAGTTGCAGAGTAAAAACATTACAATATTATTATATATACAATATTTCAATATTACTTAGAAATAATAACGCAATAATTAAGGATATATTTTGCATAATTAAATAATGTACTTTTATAATTTTAAACGACGTGAAGAAACAAATATTGCTGTATAATCCAAAAAAATATCAAAGGATGTAGCATAAAATCGAAATTATTTTGATATTTGAGCATAAATTTATTTGTGGATTATAATGCGCGTAAATAGCATATTAATATATAATTTATTTATTAAATTTTGATTAAGTGAAGAGGCCAACTAGATAGACGTAAACTTTAACGATGCAATAGTAGTTAATCTTTGTTCAAGGTTTTCCGAATTCCTATGGTCTACTTTGGGGATATCATATAGCATTCTCCTTCTAATCGGTATTACATCTCTAATCATGAATCTTTTCTGCGTGAGTTATACTTCTTTAAGTATTTCATATATCTAGTTTTGTCCAAACATTATTAATATATATATGTATATATACACATGTATATTAATATATTAATTTGATTAATATTTTATTAATTTTATATAATATATTATTATAATTGCATAAAAAAAACTATACTAAAAAATACAAATTTATTTTCTTTTAATAAGAATTTATTATTAATGTGTTTAGCTAATATTTATTTCTAAATTTCTGTAATTATTGCTCATTTTTTTTACATATTTTTCAAACAGTTCTATTTTCAAAGAAAGTTAACGAAATCGTATTGATAGGTTTTTTTATACTTGGTCATATTATTTATTTATTTGTGGGTAACTATCTTGGCCAAATTTTAATAGATCATAGCACAGATATTTTTCAAAACATGTAAGTACACATAACGCTTTCAAATGTTTCAGAATTTTAAAAGTTTATAAAAATTTTTCTAATAATATCTGTAAACACTAATTTTATCTTGTTGTATATTATAATGATAACACAATTAATACTCTTTGATTATCAAGCTGATTTCGACATTAGGATTAATAAATTAAGTATTATTTTGATATTTTATTATCTTTTTTAATGTCTTAATATAATTTATATTATTTTTTTAATGTATTAAATACTTAGTAAAATCATTCTTAAACAGATGCATAAAATAGTTGCTCTCAAGTAAGTGATGGAACTCTTACGAATTTTACGCATTACCCAATTATGGATGGCAATTAAAATATTAAAATGATAACAAATCATTATATTCACATATTA